AAGTACGTTTCTCGTACTTAACTACATTGTATACAATGTGGATCGGGTATATTGTGATTATATAAGGTACTCCAACCCCTGTAACTGTCCAAGACGATAAGAGTAAATACAATGAGAGGTAGTAATTTATGCTATTTGATGGATTTATAGGAAAAAGATGAGAGTACTAAAGCTTGATCACACGTTAAATGGTACAGAAGGCTACCCCTTCTTTTGGGACACTTGTAACATTAACATGACTTGGAAGTTCGAGAAATCCTGCCCAACAGACGCAACAAGAAGCATCTACCCTGACCAGCTCTGGTTGTTGAACATTCTTCAGGCTCTGCCAGCACAAGCTGGCGCAAGATCTGTATGGGCGAAGCGTAATACAAGAAAAACAGACAACGCAACGGGCTTGGGAGCTCCAAAAACCAGAGAGTCACCCAGTGCAGTTTGTCCATGTCAGGCCTGGACCGAGGATGGAGACGACGGTGTAGAGGCAGCCCCTTCCAGCTTTGAAGAGTGTCCATAGAGGGATCCTGAGTTTGGGGTGTGCGTCTTTTCTTAGGGTCTTATGAAGGGCTGCGCCTCCGGAAGCCCAGTTTCTGCAGCACATTCCAAATTTACCGTCAGCAAACTTACATTGTGGGCGAATTGATAGGTTTGGGGCTTTCCCAGTAGCCAGCCCCAGGTTGAAGTGTTTTTTTGTGGGGACCAGGAAAACGGTCCTTTCAATCAGAAAGTGCTCTGGCTTTACGCTTCGTAACCTTCCTGATATCGAAGCAGTTTAGCAAGCAATAGCAGAGAAGCCACTCGCCAAACATCATCAAACTGCGATACCACTACAGTCCGTGGGATTGACTCAGATCATTTTGATATACTTGGTCGGCTGGCTTTTGACCCTGAATACCTGGCAAAGGCACCGGCTGAATGTTTTCAGTTGCATCAAGGGATACATTGTAACAGTGTATTGCATGTAGATCTTTGAACGGGGTGTTCATCCCTGAAGGCTCGTCTGCGCTGCTGGGACTACTTGGCATTTTCTTCACTGTGTTCATCGGGCTCCGAGACTTGAGATGGCACTTGCAGCGTGCAGCATGTTCATTTGATGAGCACTGCTAGATGCCAAGACCGGAGATCATGATGCTGGCAAAAGGGCGATGTCGTTCTGGAGCTTGGTCCTGGTTCCATATGGAAAAAATACACCAAAGGCAAACATTGCGCAAAGAGAAAAAACGTATGATGATGATGATGATGATGATGATGATGATGGGAAGCCACGACTAAGCCTAAGCATATTGCAAGTTCAGCCTTCCAATGCTACTACTAACGGTGGTGATCTTCTTGTGGGTTGGTGATGTAGTTGATGGTTCGTCAGGCAGGGACAGCCATGAAGCGTGTCATGGTGGTTTGCGTGTGTTTGAAGCTTCAGCACATGCGTAGTTTTCAACATGGAGGGGGAAAGCCTTCCGACAAGAACTTCTGCAGGAACTCTATTGTTCCAGTTTGCCAAATTCAACCGTCGGGATGGTTTCATGGGAACATGGGAGCAGCGCAAAGCTGTGAGGGTCGCCAGGGTGTACGGCTCTTTTGGTCCAGAGAGAGTTGAATATTGCTGTCAACATGAAGGATGGTCCTTTTTTTCAAGCCTTGTTGTCCCCCTGAACTTGCAATTCGTGACGCATGGGATGGATCATTCTTCGCCTTCTGGTTGCAGCTTCAAGTTTGATAGGTTCAGCATTGTGCAGTGCTCAGCATGCACCAACCTCAGGGCGCAGCAGGCAGCAGACTGAAAGATGCCATAGTCTTGCTTTGACCTTTAAGTGGCAGCATAAATCAGTCCAGTCCCCGTGCGTTTTGGCCTCATGCCGTGTTCTGCAAGGCGGAATCCGCCAAAAGGGTTTGGGCTTTTTGGGCTCGAGGCTTCAGAGTCCTTTCGTGTGGGTTCCCGTGTGAGCCGAGTCCTATATACTTCCGAGCTTTGTGGATTTTTTGCCTTATTCAGAAGATTTTGAAGAAACCATTTGGAGAGTCTGAGAGTCACTGGCATGTGTCAGCATACAGTCGGTCCCAAACAGAAGAAAAAGTAATCAGTGCTCTTGAAGCTTTTTCACACATTCTCACAGGCAAGCTCCATGCCCTTCAAAACCTTGCGTCAGCCATCCTGAAATCCGTGAAGGCTCTACCAACAAACAACTTTGAACTCTCCGATGTGTTGACTCTGCAGACTATGACTAGCAAGGCACTCACGGGGGCGATCCTGACCTGGCTGCCCCTCCATATGATTTGTTAATTCTGCATCTTAGCCCGCGCAGGAATCCTTGGTTAAGCAAGCCCCAACCCCAGCCAGACGAAGCCCAAACCATCCTGTTTTTCTTTCCTGCGAGGTGGGGGGCGATGGGCTTGCATGAGACTCCGAAATTATGCGCTCGCAATACCCGGTGCAATTTCCCGCTGTTCAATGCCTCAACCTCCTACACTAAAACCAGAAGTCCAGGCTTCAAGCCCTGAATCCTACAATACCATCTGGTCTCAGGCCTAGGATCTAGGTTTGATTTTGAAATGCATGAATGTTGCAGGTGCTGGCAATCCATTCTCGTGGCAGCTGTTTGTACTCTTCTGGCAAAGGCTGGCCGAAACTTGCCAATCTGAAGCATTTGCACTGGCATCTTTACTGAGATCAGCTCATGTCAGAGTCCGTTGCAAGGAGGTTGGGTGCTACATTGGTTGAACATGTGGTAGTACTAATACCAATAGTAACCATGATCGCACTCCAATAGAAGTAGTAACAAGATCAATGATAGTAGCAACGCTAGTATTCTTGAGAATAGTAATGGTAGCCAAGAACGTAATGGTTGGGGATTGCAGTTTGGTCTGAATCCATTTTTTTTTCGTTCAGAGCTTCAAAGGCGGTGATGTCTTGACAGAGAGGATGCAGGTGTGTTGGCGGGAAGGGCGGGTGTCATGGTAGGATGCAGCTACCAGGTCTTGGCCAGGGACAAGTTTAGGAGCCTGGGCTGCGGTCGGCATTGTTGGAAGGAGAACTTACATGTGTCAAAAAATATCTGGCTTTCGCCTGGCAGAGCAATGCTTAGATGTGGTCGATTGCCACAGCCGAGGGAGGTTCAACAGCCCAGCAAAGTTGACGCCTTTCTTCTACAGCCCCTGAAGGCAGACTGTCCAGAAGACTGTCCTGCACGCTGCCCTGGACAGCTCGAGGCTCTGTGGAACTGCATCATCCTGATGAGCTTGCTGCTCCTCCCACCTCTGCAATTTGTCGTGCTAGTAGTACCATCCGGCTTGCCTGCGCCAAGTTGAGATTTGGGGAAGGAAAGGCATGTGAGCACGGGGATGCACTGGGTCTGTGTACTGCGGTCTTGCGGGCTACACATGATGTGGTACATGCGGTCGAGGGCTGCTGTTGGCCATTCCCATCTGTATGCGGATTTGGGATTTGGAGTGCGATGATCCAACAACTGCTGTGGGCTGAATTTAATTCCACGGCTTGTCTAATTTGGAGGGTCCACCCCGCCAGAAGAGGAAATTGAGGGCGCCCGATCAAAAGAATGACAGGGGCTCCTGGAACTCAATTAGAAAAGAATAGGAATGCATTCCTGCATCTTTGGGGCTGTTGGTCCATTATCAATCAAAAATGAAAAGGGATGTATTGAATATCTATATTATCAGGATTGGTTCCCCAGAAAAAATCTTTAAATGTGGTCCCTTTTCACGATACGAAAAGCCACCTAATTAGCTAGTCTTTGGAGCCTAATTTCGCTCAACAAAATTTCTTTAAATGTGGTCCCTTTCATTAAGCTAGTCCTCGGATTAAACCTGGCTCACAATCAATGACTGTTGAGCATGGTAGACTACTTGCATCTTTCGAAGTCTGCCTGTGCAGGTGCAGTCTGCCTTTGCGGCCTGGTTGCAAGAAAAGAACCCCAGGGTTTGTTGGTGGACGGCATGAGTTCTTGGACTTCAAGGAGGCATGATTCTCGACTGGTCAAGGGTGGTGTGCTGATCCTTTGTTCTGTCCGCCATTGCCCCCGGCCAGGTGCGCAGCCAGTTCGATCTGAGCAAGTTCTGGGGTGTGTGGCCCACTGCATGTTTGGATTGGAAGTCAAACTCCGCCTTTTCCAGGAATGCTCATCAGCAAACCACAGCCTTTGAATGGAAATAACATTGTCGTGCTTCGTCAGAAGGTGATGCCTTTGCAGCCCTTACACAGGGCTCGATATTTATGTTGTTCATCATGGATAGTCTCGTCAGAGTGCCTGCCCTTGATAGCTGCTTAGGCAGGGCAAGTTTTCCTGGCACGATGTTGGCAGGTATTACGAGATCGCTTACCACGATAGCACGCAGCCCCGCCGTTGGCCAATCAAGGCCATTCGAAGAGGGCTTAGACGTGCCAGGAAGGCTGTCCATTGATTCGACAACTGTTTGGCGTGGGATGTACGTTCGAGATGCCAAGATCAAGGAGTTTGATTCTAACTCAAAACTTGAAAGGCCTGTTCGTTGGCAGTGGCAGGGCTTTTCTTTTCCAGCCAGGCCACTGGAACCAAAGTAAACAACGGCTGTTCCCAAAGCCCATAGCCATAGAAAGCCAGTGGAACTGTTAGCACTGCGCGCGAAGCTGTCAGACGGAAATCGGCGACTTAACACCGCTGGGGCATTTGGAGCAGTGTGCCAGGCGTCCTGCCAGCGCTCCGTGAAGGCTCCTCATCCAGCAGACCCTAAGAACTACAAGGCTGGATGTTGTTACGGGATTATAAATTCAAACAATCAAAGAGCACTTCCCGTTTTCGGATTCCTTACTAGATTCTTTGTGATCGCTTCCAAGGGCTCTACATGTAGCAATCACTACAAGTTGCTGACATGCTGGAAGCTTGTAGGTTGCGGATAGTATGGAAATTGAACACCAGGACCTCTTCTCACTGAACGTGGGCCCCGGCCGGGGAATCAACGCCGTTTGCGACCTCGAGCATCTTGCCCTGGATGCCCCTCAAGGGGCAGATTTATTGTGAGTCTGAGGTTTCGAGGCTCACCAATTTGGGAATTGACTTTGGGTCCAAGTCCCGGTGTTGCACAAAGCAGTGCATGGCCTGAACCTTCTCGCTGCCTGATGTGTTGAATGTCCATGCGCATAATGAGCACGCTTCAGGTTCAACATCACGGATCAGCCTGGAGTATTTCTCGGACACTGGCCCGGCAGCCCAGGCTTTAGATTCCTGGAGGTGGACTCTGAGCGATGTTGCAGCGTTTGGATTGCAACGGTTTTGATCTTGCGGGATGTTCCTGGGGAGAATTTTTGGGGATCTCAAACGATCATCAAGGAGTATGACTAGAATCCCTTCATATTCCTTATGAAGCCATAAGAAATCTTCTTTGCAGCGCCCCTAAGTCTATCCCAGTACCTATATTCAGCAGTTTCCATTTTCTGTTGCATTTGATTCCCCATTATTGAATTAATGTCCCTGTATATCGCTTACAGAATCACGATATGCGGTTTAGAACTCTCGGGAGTTGAGAAGTTTCACAGTAAATGCCTTGCTCTTGCTCGTTCATTTCGATGAACTTTTTGCGCAGCTACTCCACCCTACGACCCCCAGCTTCCCCCTTAGTTACCCATAATTAGTCTTCATTATCTCTGGATAACTTTGATGAAGAGGGACCTAGGGCTGGTAGTAGGGGAACCCATGACAGCTTAAGATCAGACCATAATGCTGGCAGCCACCAAGCCCCAAATGATCACATGCTTAGCCTGCCACGGGAGACGGTAGTCGTTAAAGTATGGACAGTAGAGGCCATCGTTTCAAGAAAGGCCAGGTGGAATTGTTTCTGGAGCCACTGTGGAGCCGGAGAACCCGCAAACGGATTTTTGTGGGATTGTTCCCGTGACGTCATCCTGTAGCTCAAGGCCCGCAAGACATGAACGGCTGTCAAGCCAGAAAGCCATTGCTCCTTGAATGTAGCAGCTGTCAGAACAGCCGTGGAAACGGGGCCTTGGAAGGTCAGGGCATTCCTTCTTCAATCCGAACCTAACAGACATCGCAAACACAGTGGTGGATGCAACCTGGCATGAGACATGAGAGATTCGTTGTTCGGAACAAGTGCCTTTGGAGGAGACGGTGGGCTAAATGAGTTCAGCAAGGTATTGAAATTGCCGGAGGGCCTGTAATGTTGGTCTTTCTGGACAGTTGAATGACAAAGCAGGGAAGATGGCAGGGAATGCGTTGTGTCGTGCGGAGGGGCAACCTCAGTGTGTTGGAACCTTAAAGCTGTGTCTGGGTGTTTGCTGCATCACAGTGAACAGCCAACAGTGTCTGACTGATTGAGATGTTTGCCTGAGGCCTCTGAAGGGAGGGGCCATGACGCAAAACACGTTTGCTTAGGGAATCTTGCTTCTCATGGCCTTTTGACTACGGCTACACAAGATGGAACGAATCGCGTGATTGCCAACGGAGCAGTTGCGAGGCAGAGTTGACACAGCCTTCATGATCATATGTGAAGACCAACCAACTGTGGACAAGGCTTAAGAAGCGAGTCCTAACAACAAACATTCTCCTTCGTGGTTTCTACATCGACGATGAAGGGATTGAGAGCGGCTCAGGACAAATCCTCCAGTTTGTCAAGTAGTCTCTTTAGCCGACGTATTTTTACAGTTTCCATTTTGCGTTTCAGTTTCTTTCCATTGGATTCAATTGGGAATGATTTTAATTATTTCGGGCCAGAATCCTCATATGACGTTATAAAACGCATAAGAATTAGATTTTTACAGACCCTTTAGATCTTTAGAGAAAGCTTGACCGAGGTAGGGGTGGCTGCAAACGGAACCTACAATTGGACGCTTGAGTTCCAGTGCAAGAGCCTTGTCTTAGCCTGGGCATAGGCTTGACAAGCTGAGATCTCCTGGTCAAGGGACCTTGTCCTATGCGGAGCAGACACACATTGCCAAGAACTGTTGCGGTTCTGGTGAACTAACCTCAGTGCAAATGCAATTCGCCTGGTGAGTATCGTCAAGAACTGCCAGGCAGCAAAAGATTCATCAGCAACCTCCGCTCCATCATGCCAGCATGTGTAATCATTAGCCTCAATGCTACAGTGTACATTACGCCTAGTCAATTGCATTTCCATGCCTTTGAAGTGCACCTTGACCCGCGTGACCGAGGAACGACAACGATCCCGCGCGAGGCATAAGGTTTGCTGCGGTGAACTTCTATCACAAGAACCCCTTGATTTCTGAGGAGGACGGTTTACCTTGGTGATCTCAATACTAATCATTGCTGCGCTGGAGTTGCGTTTCATGCGTCGGCAAAGCTTCATTTGCACATGAATGGCCTGTGCTGAGACAAGTATCGCAAACCGTCACTTGTTTGCTGAACCAGTTTCTGTGCATAAAGGCTCAGGATCCAAAGTCGTCCAAAGGTGCGGCTGCCGACGTTTGTCTAGCCCTCGTTGCCATGGCCTGCCTGTCGACCTCCCGGACCCTGGCTGTCCCAGAACAGCTCTCTAAGCATGCTGACAGTGACGTAGAAAGCACTGTGGCTGCTGAGCACAGCGACATCGAAACTGTCGAGGATTCTTGCCCTTCCGAGCTCCCATCGCCGCGCTCCAGTGGTATGGCTGACGCAAGCGATGAGGAGGAGGGCTCATGCAATGTGGTCGTGAGGAGCACGTTTATTGACGTGGATGACGGTCGAAGCCTCATGCAACGCTACAGGCAGCTGCGCAGAACTATGACTGATTCGGTCTTCCTGGGAGCGTGGAACTTTGCAGAAGAGGAGGCCTATGAGCCTGGTAGGTTCAGTGATGAACGTGCCAAGGCGGAGGCAACGGCCCCAAGCGCTCCCAGCACGCCTCCGTGCAGCACGCCTCCGTGCACTCCGCCCAGTACGCCTGAGGCAAAGCCTGTGCAAGTTGCCAAAGCAAGCAAGGAGGCTAAGCAAGCTGAGCGCACCACTCTGATGTTGCGAAATGTTCCCAACAACTGCACTCGCGAAATGTTCCTGGGCCTGCTGGATGAGCATGGCTTTGCCGGGCGCTATGACTTCGTGTACTTGCCCTGTGACTTCTACCGCCAGGCCAACCTCGGATATGCTTTCGTAAACCTGGTGGACTCCGCAGCCGTGGATGCCCTCTGGGCGGCCTTCGATGGCTTCTCCGACTGGCCCCTGCCCACAGCAAAGGTTTGCCAAGTGAGCTGGAGCGGCCCACACCAGGGGTTCAAGGTGCATGGCCGCATGGTGTTTGTAGGATTTTGTAGGATTGTAGGGTTAACTCATGTTTTCTGCCCCAAGCATGTGAAGCCAGCCTTGCTCAGGCACACGTGGAGCGTTACAGGAACAGCCCGGTGATGCACCGCAGCGTGCCTGATGAGTACAAGCCCGTCATCTTCAAGAATGGCGTGCGAAAGAACTTCCCACGACCGACCAAGAAGGTCAAAGCACCGACTGCAGGCCTCTGAGGCTCTGCAACCTAGGTCTGCGCCGCTGTGCAGCTCTGACCGTTGTGGATGTCGTTTTGAACAGACCTCCTCCCACCCCCAGCTTCAAATCCTCTGTACAGACGTTTGGCGGGC